CCTGCAGTTCAGCGTCTTAACCACTTGAGCCACCGCAGCTCCTCTGTATATGTAACCTATCACTAAATTCAACTGCTTTACCAGAAGACTGGAGAGTAGCAAATGTGACACCAATTTTTTAAAAGAGATCCAGAGGGGAACCAGGAAATTACAGGCCAGTCAGTCTAACATCTGTCCCAGGCAAATTAGTAGAAGTGTAATCAAAGATAAAATTGTTAGGCACATAGAGGAACAAAGACTGCTGAGGGGAAATCAGCATGGCTTCTGCAAAGGGAAGTCCTGCCTCACCAACCTTTTGGAGTTCTTTGAGAAAACGAACAAGTACGTAGACAATGGTGACCTGTTAGACATAATATACCTGGACTTTTAAAAGGCTTTTGACAAAGTACCTCATGAAAGATTCCTGAGTCAACTTAGCAGTCATGGGATAAGAGGACGGTTTCTCTTATAGATTAAAAACTGGTTAAATGACAGAAAACAAAGAGTAGGAATCACTGGACAGTCCTCACAATGGAGGGAAGTAAGCAGTGGGGTCCCACAAGGATTGGTATTGGGGCCAGTACTATTTAATTTATTCATCAGTTATTTGGAACTGGGGTGAGTAGTGTAGGGGCCAAGTTTGCAGATGACACCAAATTATTCAGGAGGGTGAAAACCAAGGCTGACCGTGAAGAGGTCCTCCACAAACTGGGTGAGTCCTCAAAATCTCTTTTTTCCATATTTATGCCATCAAGATTCTGAAGCTTATCAGCGTTCAGCCCTGGTCTTACTGTTTTGGGATTATGTTGGAACAAAATATTCTGGGACCTTTCAGCTGCACTCCTTTCCTGGCTACCTTAAGAGACACTGTCTGTTTTTCTACACAAGTACAAACATGTTGAGTAAATGAAGTCCAGTGCTGGTAAGTGTAAGGTGATGCACACTGGGACAAAAGAATCCCAGCTTCAAGTATAGGCTAATGGGTAGGGATGTGCACAAACCAGCCCACGAATCTTTGTTAATGACAAATTTTGGCTGGTTCGCGAACTGCAGCCCGACCACAAACCTCCACAAACTTTTAAGGCAGTTTGTGGAGGTTCGGGGGGGGGGGGAGCAAAAAGCAGGGCTTTAAACTCCTGATTTCCCCTCCCTGTGAAAGTTCCTAAAACAGCTGAGTGGCAGGAGCCGGCCGCTCCCCACTACTCAGCTGTTTAGACCAGCTCTAAACAGCTGAGCCTGCTCCCCCAGCTCAGCTGTTGAAAGGGGCTTTCTTGGGCAGACAACCTCTGGGGCTCACTGCCCAAGAAAGCCCCTTTAAACAGCTGAGTCGTGCAGAGCAAACTGGCCCTGCATTCAGCTGTTTAAAGGGGCTTTTTTTGGCAGCCAGTCCTGGGGGCTTGCTGCCCAAGAAAGCTCCTTTAAATAGCTGAGCCACACAGAACAGTTTGTTCCGCAGGGCACAGCTGTTTAAAGGGGCTTTCTTGGGTTGAGCTCCAAGCCATTTAAAGCAAACACCTGAGTGGTGCTCAGCAGCTCAGCTTTTTGGTTTAAATTACATGGAGCCATTTAAAGCACTGCTGTCTGCTCCCTGCGACTAGCGGTGGGGAGAATAAAGCAGGGGTCACAAACCCATACAAACTGGTTTGGTTTGCAACTCAACTTCCCGGTTCATATAGGTTTGTGGCTCGGTTTGTGGCTCAGCAAAACTGAGAGGGGAAAAGATCTTTGGGTTGTAGTGGATAGCTCAATAATAGTGCCAACTCAGTGTGCTGCAGTGGTGAAAAATGCAAACTCTATGTTGGGGATTATTAGGAAAGGGATTGAGAATAAAGAAGAAGAAGAGAAGAAGAGAAGAGAAGAGAAGAGAAGAGAAGAGAAGAGAAGAGAAGAGAAGAGAAGAGTTCAAGAACAGCTGTGCCAGAGCTTGTGACTGACCCAAGGTCACACATCAACAGGTGCAAGTGGAGGAGTGGGGAATCAAACCCGGTTCTCCCAGATCAGAGTCCGCGCACTTAACCACCACACCAAACTGGCTCTCATAAAACATCTGATATTTTAATGTCCCTGTATAGATCTATGGCATGGCCTAATTTGGAATACTGTGTACAGTTCTGGTCACCGTATCTCAAAAAGGACACTGCAGAGCTGGAAAAAGTGCAGAGGAGGGCAACCAAGATGATTAGGGGGTTGGAGCACCTTCCCTATGAGGAAAGGCTGAAGAGTCTTGCACTTTTCAGTATAGAAAAGAGATGACTAAGGGAGGGACATGATAGTAGTTAAAAACATTATGCATGGGGTGGAGAGAGGAGACAAAGAGAAAATTTTCTCCCTCTCCCAAAATCCTAGAACTCGAGGGCATCCAGTGAAGTTGATGGGTAGTAGGTTCAGGATGGACAAAAGGAAATACTACTTTACACAGAGAGTGATTAAAATGTGGAATTTGCTGCCAGAGGATGTAGTGATGGCCACAGGGATAAGCTCTCGACCCTTAAGTCCTAGCTCCCGCCCACCCAGCGGATTGAAAGCCGAGTAACTAACGGCAAGTAGATAAATGGGAACCCACCCTTAGAAAGGTGAGGGGCACCCTCCTCCCTGCGGAGGTGTGTGGAGAGCGGCGGCAATGACGGCGACGGCGACGGCGGCTGCAGTAGAACAGCGGCAGCAGCAGAAGATCGGAGGAGGCAGCGGCATGGCGCTGAAGGCAGCGAGCGGCGGCAGCAGAGCCGGAGAGGGACTGATCCCTGGTGGCCAGCAGCGGAAAGAGCAAGGCGACTGTCGTCGGCAGAGGACGGAGGCGCGGTGACATCATCCAGAGGCGCGTAGAGCCAGAACGTCGCCTGTGAACCATCCGCCTGTCTGCCTAAGCGCTAGAACATCTCACAGCCGGGAAAAGGAGCCAAGCCGAAAGAATGACACCAGCCTCCACCAGGGTGCCAGTAGGCAGCCCCTTCCATTGAATTGATGTGGCCTTAGTTAGGATTCAAATAAGTGACTAGCACCCAAAAATGTAAACCACCCAGAGACCCCTACGGGGGTTAGGGCGGTATATCAAGTTGAAATAATAAATATAAATAAATAAATAAATAAAATGAGATTAGATAGATTCATGGAGGATAAGTTCATCAGTGGCTACTCACCATGGTGACTGAGGGAAACCTTCACATTCAGAGGCACTAAGCCTCTGAATCCCAGAGCCAGGAGACAATATCAGGGGAAGGTCTTGGCCTCTATGCCCTTGGCTGTCCAGGGGAACTGGTTGGCCACTGTGTGAGACAGGATGCTGGATTAGATGGACTATTGGTCTGATCCAGCAGGTCTCCTCTTATGTTCTCTAGATATTACAGAAGTGATCTTAATTAATGAGTACATAGCACAGAGCCTGATTTAGCAGCAGCTGTATTCTCAGTCTGACAGCATCGTCACTTCCTGTGTTGGGAATGAGTAAACTAGTCACTGAGAAGAAGCATGATTTTAGGAGCTAAGACTTTTGCCACAGCTACCCTTATTCTTCAAGTGCAGCATCCCAAGAGGAGGAGCTGAGTTCTGCGGAGGGTTCAGGACCTCAAGGATAAACTCAATAAAGGACTTCATGCTTTTGCCATCATTCTGAGGTGGCAAGAAGATGGCCTATTAATTTGTCAACAGTTTCCTTTTAAAAATTCTTCTCACCTTTCCATTAAAATAATACACAAGGCAGTATACAAACTGAATATGTTCTTTATCTGGTAACCACCTGCTTAACCTCTGAAGGTGGAAGCAATTAGAGAAAGGCCTCAGCAGATTAACTTTCTTCATGGGACAAAACAGTCCTTAAAGTACCCTGAGACATGGGATTTGGGATGCTATGTTCCCACCCGCTGACCAAAAGTCAGTGTAGTATTCTGAACTGAGTGCCGTTTCTGCACAGTTTTGAGAGGCAGAAGCCCCGCCCCCTGATTCCGGCCGCCCCGCTTCCAGCCCTCATTCAGCCAGGAGGAGGCAGGAGAAGAGGGAGGGTAAGTTGCTTCCTCCCCGCCTCTCCCCACCCCTGCCTGCCTGGGGCCAGGGAGGGCCTTCGCGGGGCTTCCTTGCACTCCCGCCGGCCTTGCAGGTCCACCGCCGGACCCCTCATGGGGCTCGGCAGTGGAGCTGCAAGGCCGCCAGCGGTGGCCAGGACCGTTGGGTGCGGGGTGTGTGGCCTTATGACACATTTCCGGTGATGTCAGGGGGTGTGGCATATGCTAATGAGTTATGCTAAAGAGTCCCCCTAGCTCTTTTTCTATGAAACGACCTCTGAGCATGCCTCCTCACAGTGATCCAGATGGGATGCCTTCTGAGCTGGAAACCAACTGGCAAAATCACTTCCGTCCAAAAGGAGGCGGAGGTGGCATAGTCCCTGGAGCTGGAAAAGATCAGTGTGCAACAGATGTCACCTGAGCACCGAGTTGCAAGAGGGAATCTAGATGCGGAGAACCTGGTCTTTAAGAAGAAATGTGGCCCCATACAAAATTGACAAAACTCAGCACCTAACAGCTGATAATAGCTCTGAACTGGCACAAGTCCCAGTGCCAACCCAAGGGCATCCTCTGCACCGCTCACTATGCCGACTACTCGGAGTTGCAAGGCTTTCTAAAGAAGAAAAAAGAGGAAGTTGTGAAATTTGGCTGGTCTGGAACTTAGTTAATGCCAAACAGGCAAGAGCATTCTCTGAGCGCTTCACACTGCACACTTCTTTGGTGACTGGACCAGCCTGTCCCGCTTCCCCTGTTATCAAGGATTATTGCTGACACCTCTAGAGTGGTTTCTGAGCCCCGACATTTTCCCTTTTAGTATTTAAGCACTGGGGCTAGGAAACAGTATACAGGAGGAGACGGAAGAGAACACCTTTTGTCACACATGTGCCTCTGTTTTGTTGCGGGGGAATCCCCCTGCCTGTCGCTAGGGGGCGGGGTTTGGTGGAGTTCCCTGGAACTTCCCTTCGGAGAGGCTGGGCGGAGTCGAGCTGCTCAAGGCTGAGGGAGGGTCATTGAGTTTGGTGCTTCGGCCGCTCGGGATAGCTGTTCTCTCGGCATGCGACCTCCGCGGCTGCCCCCGTCCTGGTTTCCTAGGGCGCTGCTCGCCGCCAGCGTTTAGTTGCCTGTGCCCCGAGCTTCTTTTTGCCCGCGTTTTTGGAGGCAAGCCCAGCCACCCTCCGTCGCTGCACCATGTCGGAGACTCGAAGCGACGATGGCAAGAAGGAGACGCAGGTGGAAGGTGGCGGCTTGTACCTGGAAGAGGGACAGTGCGACTCGGGTTTCGGCTGCAGCCGCTCCCTGCCCGGGCAGCTGGGAGACGGCGAGCCCCGATCGCCGCCAGCCCCCGGGATGCCCGGGGAAAGAGGCCCCGATCCCCCGGGCACAGGCAAGGAGGAAACAGACGCCGCCTTGGAGCCGGAGGAAAGGCTCGACTCCAGCTACGGTTCGTCTTCTCTGGTCGAGTCTTTGCGGGGGCTGGAAAAGACCCCCGAAAAGGAGGAGGAGGAGGAGGAAGAAGAAGAAAGACTTCGGCGGCAGCTGCTGGAGACTTTCCCTTTCGTCTCTGAAGACGGAGACACGTGAGTGACTCTAGTGAGCTCTTTGGCATGTACACGTAACGCTACGCGTTTCTCTTTCTTGACTTTTCTTTCTAGCGAAAAGGAGCAGAGCTCGTGAAGTCGTGGCTCAGGCTTGCCACCCTGCGGCCTCTCGCCCTGGCGTTAGCATGCCCGGGGGGGGGGGGGAGTCCGGGGACTGGGCTCGACATTTGGGAACGGAAGATAAGGACTCATTACACAGTGCTGTCCGAAATAAAAATACCTTGCAGTATTGCGGGGAGGGGGATCGTATCCTGGACATGGAACAGTCCTTTATAATAAGGGAGAGCTATGCCTAACTCAGGCAGTGGAAAAACGCCTGTTAGTGGACTATATCAACACTGCAGGGTTAATAATGTGTTATCTCTCACATACACTATTCACTTTAAGGTGTCTTTTATGCTTGGCATCCGGGACTAGAGGGGCTATTTAATTCCTCTACAACTTTCTGCAAACGGCCCTGAAGGATCTGTGAGTTTTGTTCTTTGATGAGACTTGCTTGGCTGCTTACTCACTGTTCACATCATTGTTAATATCAATGTCTAGCTTTACTTCTTGGGGGGGGAGAGGCTTAACCCCCCACCCCTTCAACATAGTACACATTGAATCACATTAGCTCTTTGACTGAGACCTCTGTAGAACTTTTGAAAGCTAAAGATAGATATAAAGATGCCTATTTGCAGTGCAAAGCCCCCTAAGCACAGAGATGCTTTGTGGTGACTGACTTTCAATCTGTACCCAGGCTTCCAAGCAAAATGCTGGTCACCCCCTTGAAAGAAGCGAAACGGGGGCATCCCATTCAGTTAGCCAGAGTCTAAAGTCACAGCTGGTTTTCGTGGCCTGCTTTGTAGGTTCTCTGTCTGATGAAACTGATGTCTTAATCCCATGTGACTTCTCTGACGTGCTAGGAATTTCTCTCATGACCTCGTTCAGAGACATTGGTTCCAAGCTCAGGTCTTCCACAGTGTTGGGAAGACTGCTTCCAGCTGATCTGCTTGCATATTTAGATGCCAGAGAAGGTTTAGGCTTCACTCTGTTCTCTCACGCATTTCCTCCATATCCTGCTGAGCAGCTTCCTCTCCCAGCTTGCCTGTGTCTCTGCTCCCACTCCCAGTATCTGCGATGGTGGCATGACCTTTGTGTATTGGCCAGTATAAGGTGGTGGGCTGTGGGACACTATGTCCTTGAGACCTACCAGAAGAAAAGCAACGGTGGAGAAAGGGCTTTGGGGTGGGAAAGCACAAGGCAGAGGAAAGGTCCTGTGTGCGCCTGCACCTTTCTGTACATGAAATCGCTCTCATTTTAATTCCCCTTCACGGAGGCCCCTGTATGTCATGCTTGGTATTGTAGCTGATCATCTTGAACATCCAAACTTCTAATTGCATTGGTCATATGAACTTTTCCACCGCTTCTGTGGCTGTGGAGGAACAGTTTGCTTTTGGGGGCAGAGGAGAAGGGAAAGCTTCAAGACTGAACATGAGTTAGAAAACATAATCTTTATTTCTATTGTTGTCATATCTATATCTCAAAGCAAAGTGGGTTACTTGTGCCAATCAGGAAAGCAACCACAGCAGACCACCCACAAGTAATGTTCCCTGTAAGCTGTGGAGTCTTGTGAGCAAAAACTCTACTTTGTGAGCTACTGGCATGAAAGTTGTGAGCAAGCGATTGGGCTACTGCATAGATTCGTTTGCTCTGGAGCCCTCCTTCCTGAGCGAAGGCAAAAAGGTGTGAGCCGGGGCTAAAAAACTGTGAGCTAGCTCACACTAACTCAGCTTAGAGGGAACACTGCAAGCCAAGAGTGAGGTTGCTATGGATTTGGAGAACTCCCCTGGTATGCAGAAAAATATGACTTTGTAAATTAACCAGAAGGTGATGCCTCAGTAGAGGCTACATGTGCTGCATCACAGCAGTCGAGAATCACATTAATTTTTTTTTTTTAAAGGAGAAGAGTTAGAAAATTGGCCTAAGAGCATGTAGCGTCCCAGGGAGGGAGATCTGGGTAGATGTGTGGAAATTTCTCAGTTTTTCCATCCCCATTGATTCCTTGTAGACCCCCGTTTCTCACTATATCTAATAGTAAAGTGGGTGGAAGCAAAACTAGGTAAACCACAGAGCAAGTGGGTGCTTCTGCATGTTCAAGGGACTCCCCAGCATGCAGAACAATGACTTTGTAAGAGGGAAACCCAAAAATGGCCTGATGAGGCCTGAGCATACTCCAGGAAGTGTGGGACGCTAACAGTCAATGTTGACATTGACAGTCAATGGGGAACAAAATCAGATGGAAAAAATGGCCTACTTGGGCCCCTGGCAGCCAGTAGTCTTCTGGAAGGGCATGCATGTCTGTGTATAATTTCTAACACACACACACACCCCGGTGATGCCTTGTGGGCCTTAGCTTGGCTCTTCTCATGGCAAATACTATGGGCCAGTAGCTATCAGTACAGCGATAAAATGGGGGCCAGCCACAGACAAGACTGGGGTTTCTGAATGCTGGTGGTACTCCACAGCGTGTAGGGGAAAATGTGCTTTTGTAAATCTACACACGCACACACACATACATTGCTTGATAAAGTCTGGACATATTCTAGGCGATACAGGAATACTTGGGAGGGTTGTGGAAACTGACATGCTCAAATCCCTAAGAGCTTAGAATATTTTGTAGAGAAAAATTTAGGCTGGGGTGGAATTTTCCAGTGTTTAATTCCCCTTCACGGAGGCCCCTGTATGTCATGCTTGGTATTGTAGCTGATCATCTTGAACATCCAAACTTCTGATTGCATTGGTCATATGAACTTTTCCACTGCTTCTGTGGCTGTGGAGGAACAGTTTGCTTTTGGGGGCAGAGGAGAAGGGAAAGCTTCAAGACTGAATCAGACCTTTCTGGTGGTGATGGGAGGAAGGGGGGGGGGGAGAAAATCATGTTACTTTTCAAATCTTTCTCCAACTTCCTGGTTTGGAAACCTGGGAGGGGAGGAGTAAACGGCACCCAGTGGGATGGATCCAGCTGTCTTCCAAGGAGCCATCCTCCAATGAAAGAGCCCCTTAAATTGGAGGAAGCCTCTTTAGGCTGAAGGAGAGTTTCAAACTTTGCCCCGTGAAGTGGTGAGATGGGGGGGGGGGTAGGATCCACCCAGGCGGCAGCTTCTGGTGCAGCACAGCAGGATTCTGATCGCAAAGCAGCCCTCCTTTCCAGAATGTGGGTTCCTTGAACATGGAGATCTGCTGATGAAGGATGGCAGAATCAGGAATGAGCATTTGTCTTCTCGCAAAACCAGGTGGATGAGGACACTTGTGTTAACTGGAAAGTGCATGTGCTTCCAAGAACTGAAATTGCTTTCTTCCAGCATATTGCTTCCGCCGCTTCTGCTGCTGCTGGAAGGAGCACCGGCTACAGCTGAGGGCATTTTGTGAAGCAAAACTGGGATTGTTTTATTCACTGATTCTCAGCAGGCTCCCCTGGGCAAAATCACTTCCTTGTAACAATCCTAATGATGAAAGAACAGAAGTTTGTGGCTACACATTTCTGCTTCCTGTTTTTGTTTTTTTTACAGCTCCCATAACGGGATTAGGGCTGCTTCTGGGGCAAACTGGTACCCTCGCGGTGCCTTTTGATCATCTTAAGGGAGTGTAGGCACCTGTTGGTTTTCAGGAGACCTTTCTTTGCAGTCATCTTTGCAGTATTTTGCAAAACTCATTCCCAAAGGCTAGTTGTGTAAGTGTTACCTCCTGGTGCATAGAAAAAGAAGACCGGTTCACACATGCATATTTGTTGGATGATGTCTGTAACTATCAAGTGGTGAGTTGCAAGTGTTGAGCTCATAGTCACCAACTTTGCCATCCTAAGAAAGCTTTCTTGAGCGTAACCCCCCTTGAGGAGACTTGAGTAGATTTCTGAGTAGACTTGCTTAGGACTGCACTGTAACTGTACCATATTCAAGTTTAGAAAAGTCGGTTGATGTACATGCAGGTACAAACCATCCTTATATGTCCTGTATCACCTGAAAGGCTGTGGCATGAACTGTGATAGGCAATAGTCTACTTCTGCACAGGGGTTCTGCTGCATTTGCTTAACATCCTGCCTGGTTAGGAATGCAAGATGCACTCTGGCATTCTGACACTGAAACTTAACAACATGACTTTCATTAGGAGTTTGTCGCTCAGATGGTTATGAAGCAGGGCTATTTTTGTAGAAAAATTCCAGCAGGAACTCATTAGCATAATAGGCCACACCCAGCAGCAGAAACTCATTAGCATATTAGGCCACACCCCTGATTGCACCACTCATTAGCATATGAGGCTGCATTCCCATGTTACCAGAAGCCACACCCACCTTTTGCTTCTTATTCTGTTTCCCTTGTTTGTTGTCAAACCAGGGCTTTTTTTGTTGCAGGAACGCCTTTGCATGTTAGGACACACACCCCTAATGTAGCCAATCCTAATGAGTTTCTGCTGCTGGGGGTGGCCTGTTATGCTAATGAGTTCCTGCTTGGCGTGGCCAGCTTGGGAGCCAGCCGGAACTCCGTTCCTGTGCGTTCCTGCCCAAAAATAGCCCTGGTATGAGACATTGACAATTCAGGCAGGCATCTAAACCAAAGCCAGCCACCGCTTTCAGAAAGAAACAGGCTGCCAGGCCAAAAAGGGATTGTTCAGTACAGAACTGGAATATCAAATAGGGCCTTGGTGGGGAATGGAGTAATACCATGCTGCTGTTACAGAGAAGGGCCAAGAGAGGTGTGTGGGGGGGAGTTCCCCCTCTAATATCTGATGAGGGCCAGCAGGAGTTCTCAAGGGATACTGCTTGGCAGGGCATTCCAGAGTAGGTGCAGCATGGTCCTGTAGGGTCTGTTAAAAACTTCAGGACACTCAAGAAGGCCTAGAAACGGATTCTAACAAGGTCTCTAGCTCGTGGAACCTGGGTTGGCTTCAGTTTCGCAGGACAGAGCCTCCTTTATTTTGGGATCTGACTCCTAAGACGTGAA